AGTTTTTGGCACATTTTTATGTCTAGTTCGGGCGAAATACAAATTGAACAATCCCCTCGTGCACGTCAGCTTCAAAGTCAGGAGCAAACAATACCGTTCGTTTTGTAAAAAGCCGACGGGTTACCGCCTAATTATGAATATGGGTACTGCAGGGCTCCAACCGATTTAGCCTGTTTCCGGCTCTCGACAAGCCTGATGTGGTCGCCAGACACGATAGTATGGTAGTTTTGAAGCCTTAAATCTCGAAATTACGATCTTTCTTGGTAATGAAGGGATGCCGTCATAGTCATCGCATCACCAATGTTACCATCGTCGTGCGGATTCATGTGTGGAAGTCCACTCTTACAAAATTTACCTGCATTGTACCTGGCAAAGGTTACTAACTAAATCGCAATTACAACGTTATCTCCAGTCTCACTGACAAAGTCTACAGCACGATTTGCTTAAACCCCTGGCCATAAAACGGGTTTGTTGGCGGTGAGCTGAGCGAGTATGCCGCCTCACTGCAGCTAGAGCCTCTATCCTACTGAAGGGTTCAAAACGGTAGACTGCTGCAGCAATAGCGCCAATATTTAAAGCCATCCATTTCAACAGAGCGAACGGGGCCAATACGCAGAAATTCAGGGTGTCAACAAGAGCATCAAAGCAGTGTGTTCCTCCACTTGTTGAATAATTTACTTACTTAGGTTCGAAGCAGTGAAAGCAAGTCGACGGAATCGTTTTTCGCGAGTATGTTCAAATACACCAATAAGGGCAAATCGAAACAGTGACCAAGTATTCGCCAAACTTTCCATCAAAATAATCAAGACAGAAAAATAAATGGACGAAGCTATCATAGAGCAACCCCAGAACAAATATATTCCACTGAAAGACCGCCCATTAACGTAGAAGCATTGCCATCTGTCACCCGGTATACGAAAAAACAAATAAACGCAAAACGAACAAGATAACACCATATAATGAACAGTTCAATATACAAAACGAAATGACGCTTCCTATTAGAGTAGCGGAGTCATAATAAAAAATGCAAGAAGTAACAACTGTTGCCAGGCGTCCGCGCCTACAGCTCCTCCTTCTTATGTGACGAAGTCTGCTAAAAATGGAGAGACGAGGGGGCATTTCATAGAATGAAATTCACTTAAGCGGGAAAATGCAAGAATATATTATATCTTAAACTTAATCTCACTTCTTTAGGGAATAAGGCACTGAAGAGAACAATTATC